GTCCCGGAAATGGTCAGCACAAACTGTGTAGACACCCCCCTGACAGGGCTGAACAGCACTGCAAAAAACCCACACATGTTGGTAAATTAAAAAATAGCAATGTAAAAGATCTTATTATGTCTTAGTATCATGTTTACACTTTCCTTTAAGACATCATACAGCCTAACATGTTTTTTTAAACTTATTTATTAGTTGGTTTCAAAATAATTTACTCAGGAGCATTAACATATCAGTAAAGACTTTGATATTTGCCACATTGTAAGTTGCACTGTCCAGCCCACCCTCCCAAGACATGGCCTCACCTAAAGCAAAGGTGGTCAGTGTCAACAGTGAGACCAACTCGCTAAAAGACTGTAAAAGCAATGGCAGTGGTCCAGGTGGAGAAACGGCACAGAATCACCGGATGTATTCCCTGGACGACCTGGAGACGGTGGCCACAGTAGGTGAGTTTCAACTATGTCATAGATCTACACTGTGTGCAAAAGTATTAGGCAAGTGAGTATTTGGACAGTATCATAATGTTTACGCAGTCCAAGCTTTATAAACTTCTTCTTCTTATTTGATTAGAACATATCAGCTGATGTGTATTTGTGTAATGAAGTACAGCATGGCCTAAGGAGATTAACAACCTATATGAAGGTGTGCATAATTAACAGACAGATTATTTTCCTCAGGGGAAATGGGCCAAAAAAGTCTTTCGATTGCAGGATATTGGGTATATGATCAAAGAACTATCAAATGTTTTGTAAAAAAAGGTCACCAGGGTAGTCTGTTGAGAGAAAAAAATGCAAATGAAGTGTCAACAAATTATGGAAAGTGAAGTCACTAGTTGTGAAGTCACTATGAACTCATTGTCCTCCAGTGCTGGTATACTCCACAACTGTAACCTACCTAGAGTACCCAGAAGTACAGGGTGCCCATAAATAAAACGTCAAGACTTCCTTCCAAGAAATTCCTGAAGATTTTAGAAGTTAAGGTTTTATGAACTGATGTAGAATGACTCTTGATGGACCTGTGACCAGTAATGGGCATTAAGCACCACTTTAATTCACACACCATCCAGGTGTAGGTGAGGTTCTGGTAGGGCCTGGCATCATTTCATATTAACTAGTTGGGCCTTTTTGAGATTTAAAGTCAACTTCCAGAACTGCTGCCAGTAGTTTTTTTAAGCAGTGCTACAGAAATAAGCCTGGATCTTTCAAGTGTTGATCCAAAATGTACTTAAGTAAAAGTAAAATCACCTGTTCCCAAAACTACTCATTTGTTGTCTGGCAGTGTTTCTCTGCTCTGCAGCTGCACAGAGCAGTTTTCTGTAGTTGTCTGTACCTGTGTGAGATTAACTAGTCTCCAGCTGTTGTTTTTCATTGAGTCAGATGCAGGCTATTCATTTAAGTCTATATTAATATGATTAAAGTCTGGGATTAGACTCTTTTTTTTTTATCAAATAATGTTTGAATTGCGGTGCTTGGAACTGACTCCAAATAAATAACAACATATGGAATCGCTGTGCACTGTATGTCTGTGCTTCTATTGTGGTGCTCTGTTGTTGTTGTCATTGTTGTTGTTGTTGTTGTTGTTTCGACAACAACATCAAAAACATTGTACCGGTACTAATAAGTGTACTGTGAAGGTACATTAAGGCATATAGTTTTCATATAGTATGTTAAGAAAAACTGCAATAGAATTCTAAAATATTTAGTATTCCCTGTTGTATATAGCAATACATACTGATAACAAAATACAACATGGTATTAGACATGACAGCAAGCAGGATAGTATTCTGTAGGGGTATTCTCTAAAAAAGGTAAAATAGACGGTGCAAGTAGGACAATGAAGCAGTAGTGTGACGTCTGTCATAGACGGGGACAGCAAAGAATGACATTTCAGTCATTGTGACCTCTCAGTGCTTGTAAGCCCTGTATAAAAATCCAATTTCCCTGAGCCATTTTTCTTGATGAGAGGGATTTGCTGCACTAAACAAATCAGGGTAAAGCTCTTTATTTGCTCACTGTTGTTTAATTTTCATTAAAATCATAAGGCAATTCCACGGTGCCATTAGGTGACATCCTGTGGCCAGTCACGTGAGCCAAAAAGCATCAGTCACAGGCAACAACAAGCTCAATCCAAATGTGTCCTGTTGGTTGACAAATCATTAAATTGCATTATGCTAAAATAAAAAACATTGTGGATATTGAATTGTGTTAAGTTTGCAATTTAAAGGTAGTAAAGTCATAATTTCTAGTAAAAGAAAAAAAAAACATTTTTGTTACAGTTTGGTAAATCAGAAAAAGAAATTTTAATTTTTCAGAAACAAACCATATTGTCCAAAGTAAAAGAGAAACATCTGAGATTTTGTTTAGTGTGATCCTCAGTTCTCCACCACATTGAAATGCTGGTCATCGAGGGCAATAAACTGTGTGGTTTTTATCACATAATGGCTCAGCCTTTTCACTGCTTCTGACAACACCTCTTAAATAAAAACATCAACCAAATCAGTTTCTAGTTCTTAGTAAATCTTCTTTGTGAATTTGTTGGGTTGAAATTAGTAGACAATTTCCTTTGAACCAAAAACGGTATTAAGGCTGACATGTTAAAAACATCCAGACTGGCAAAGGAATATTGGGCTATTTGTGACGTTAGGATATCTGCTCCATGCACGAACAGCTCAGTGTATAAATCTGGATGAATTTATCAGCCAATCTGTCTTTTAAAGGTTATCAACAGATTAAAGTTAACACATTATCAAAATCCATCTATCAATATCTTGTACCGTACAGGTAACATTCATAAGGTTGTATGGTTGCTCCGTACTTTGTATTCAACTTTGCATAAAAACAACTTAATTTCTGTGCATTGTGGCATATAAATTACCCTTGTCACAGTTTTAAGTTATGCTGTTGTAAAAAAAGATATAGTAAGTTAGCAGTACTTTATAGGTTTTCAGCTTGCCACCACCAGCTGTCTTCTTCAAGTAATAAAAGTGAGTCTTGTAAACATAGAGCGAAATTGCTTCAACAGCCTGACTGCTGTTCATCTGTAAGGCATCATGAAGATATTGCATGCCTTTTAAAATGCAGAAGAATAATTTGTGTGCCGACACTTGACAGTAATTGCATTGGGAATCTAGGTCAGAACAATCATGACATGGAATTTTGTGTTGTTTTTTCACATGACAACTGACTGATTAGTTGATACTGTGCTCTTTTGTTTTGTCTGGTTTCTGATAACTACTTTCGTTCAACAACTAGATTGTAAGCAGTGATTTACACCATTAGGAGAATGTCTTCTTGTTTTCCGTCCGTCCATTCATTTGTGTGTGTCTGTGTGTTTATATCTGTGTTTAAACAGGTTCATTCAAGACAGGCCTTGTGCAATGAGTGAGTGCTGTCCCCAGATGAGTCAAATATCTTGTTAGTACAAGCAGTGTGGGTTAGATACTTGGCATTTTCTTTTGCATAGAAACGGTGTCAATGTTTGTGTTTTGGCTTCATATGTGTCATAAATGACATCAAGTGCTGTTACTGACACAGTTGGAAAAATATGTTATTCTATACAGAGAAAAGCTCTACTCACAGAAGCAGCACAAACAAATAATAAATAGTTTGTGCCAGTTTTTACTAGGTTGTAGCTGTCACGTTTCTTTTCTCTTACAGTATATACTCCCCACTTGACTAAGACATATATTAGACGCTTAAAATTCTAGACAGATTATGGTAATTTTCAAGGTGTGTGAATTAAAAATGTTTTAATTAACGTTATCCATTGTGCCCTGCTGTGGTGAAATAATTGCTGAAAAACCTGCTAGTGTGGGAGAATGGCATTTATAAGACGACAAACATCTGGCATTAGTACAATCCAATGCTTTCAGTGTTGCAATAGAGGTGTTGTACAAGGTGCAAAACTAGAGCAGATGCATCAGCCAAACTCTTGTAGTGGATTACAGGCTCCCTTTGTCCAGTAAAAAAATTCTCAGGCTTCCTGTCATGCAGGTCCACATCAAAACCAGAATGTACAAACAAAAGTTGCTGTCTGTGGTAAAGTGCTGATATGTAGTAAAACACCACATTTAGTGAGTAGCATGTTTGAAGCCATTCTAAGTATGTTTGAATCCCCATGTTTCACTTTATCCCAGATTTTGACAATGTTCCCTTGATTTTAAAGTTTGTTGACTGCCATGGTTCTGCCCTAAATTCATAGAGAAAATTTAACAAATGTACCTCTCAGAGATAAATGGATTTCCGGTTTACTGCTGCCCTGCTTTTTGGGTTTGAGTTATTTGAACAAAGGACTGGAAATATTGAAGTCACACAATAACACATTAAATTACTCATGGAGACAGGAGTGGATAAATGGTTCTAGTTTGCATTACCTTAAGTGCAGAGTGTGTTTTCAACCGGATAAAGCTTTTCAGCAGTACAAAACACATTAGGATTTTTTGTTTTACTTTTTTTACAATGAAAAAGGTGAGAAAACACCTTCATAGTTTGAAAAAAAAAATTTTTTCTAGACCTTCCCTCACTGTAAAGTTTGTTGCCACCAGTTGCCACAGAAACCAGACATGAATAAACAGAGGTTTGCTGGGAGTAAAGCAGAAGAACAAGAAGACTGGCATTTCATCAGGATGTTTCACTGGTTTTTGTGAGTCAGACTTGGAGTTGTTGCTTCACATACCGTCTTCTGACAGATATTGTCGTAAACAATACAACAGGTTTAAAAGGTCAAATTTAAAATCTGAAGACCTGAAACTAACACACACCAATGTGACTGTTTTTTCTCTTAAGTGTGATTAAGAAGGAAATGTGTAGAGATATTCATGTAGATTCAATTCATGGATTGTGGTATCACTTCCTACTACTCAGTTCCCACTAATCCTACCACAGTCCGATGAATCTTTCGAAAAGTTGTTTGTCAGAGTCAAGTACCGCTGTGTGTGCTGCGGGTTCCTGTCACTTTGGTTAATGCCCCTGCCTCCTCCCCCTCCTCTTGCCCCTTCCTCCCAGGTACTGGCACTTTTGGTCGAGTCTTTCTGGTCAAGGACAAAAAGACCAAGGCCTTTCATGCCCTGAAGCAGATGAAGATCCCAGATGTGATTCGTCTGAAGCAGGAGCAGCACGTCCACAATGAGAAGGAGGTGCTGACAGAGGTCAGCCACCCGTTCCTCATCCGACTGTGAGTCCACAAGGCAGTGTAACCCAGAAGCACCCTGGGGACTGACACACAGTCCACTGGGTGAATATATATATATAACTATACATAGTTCATGCTGCAGGAGTTTGCTCAGTTCATTACAGCAAGCATAAAATATTGTGTTGAGCTGTCTGCAGCCACTTAAGAATGCAAAGATTGACTCTGATCCCACACTTTCTACCCAAGTTTAAGAGTCCTTTGTATTTACAGGGAGGGTGTTACCACATGTTGCTGCTCTTGGTACTAATGCTGATTGTAATAAGATGTTTATATTCTTTATAATAAATACATTGTAACAATTACAATCCAATACATTTTAATCATAGCAAATTTCAGTAGCTTGGAAGTGTAGGGAGTTGGATGTCTTAATATAATTTTTGAAATAGAGAGGCAAAGAGTTCTCTGTCAGTTACAGCTGATGCCTGTACAGTCTTATTGCATTTGGCAAGAAAGATTTCCCTCAGCTGTCCTTGTGACAGCCAGGGTGTAAAACTCAAATTATGTCACCTGTCAAATCCAAACAAGTTCCAGTTCTCAAATGTTGTAGTATTTGTCAATAAATCAATCACAATTTTATTGTTCAGCACATATTCACAAATCACAGACTGCTTCGTGGAATTTAAAGTGGAAGGGAAAAATGTGCAAATCTATTTTTTTAAATCTTTTACTTTAATAAGCTTGTGTTGAACTATTTATTTTAAATTGATTGAATTATTTACATTTGATAGTTACATGAAGTAAAATAACTTAATCCTAAAATGTTCATACTATCTAAAAGAAATGTGTATTTTATAGAAATAAACTAAATGTTATTTTAAGTCACATTAACAAGCATTAGTTTGCAGTGTAAAACATGCACAGTAGTAGTTTTTAAAGTAGTCAAACCCTATTTGCTTTCAGACAATCAAAGCAAATAGGTAGTGAAAATTTGATCTGTGTCTCCAGCAACAGCCAGTAATATGTTCTTGAAAATAAAGAGCAAATACTTAATGAGTGAGAGCCTGGCATTTTAAGGTCATAAAATAAAAGGATGGGCTTTAATTACTATTTGTGTGTTACTCGGTCCTAAACATGAAAAGTGCCAGAACAAATTCCCAAAGAATTTCAATATGATGCACTGTTGTTTTCAAATGAATGTCTGATTGTGTATAAGAAAATAAAAAAAGGGTACTGTGGATAACAAGTATTGTAGAAGATAGACTAAGAAAAAATACAGACAAAATGGCAGTCAGTAATTGTCTTCGTGGCCAGAAGCCAGCACTTACAGAAACCGCTGGAGCATCCTCCATCTTAATCAGTGACACTGCTCTCTTGTTTTGGTTACGCTGAAGTGCTTTCCTGCTTGAATAGTTGCTTCAAAACACAATGGGATCTGAAGTTGTTGAGACTTTTACCACCTTTCATTTCATTTGGTTTTCTCAACTTGTCCAAGTATTTTGACAACGCAAAGTTTTATTGTACATTGAGCGTACATGAGAAAAAAAAATTCAAGTTAATTCTCCTGGGGATGAACTTTTTCAATCAAACATTATATCAGTTTCTTAGTCCATGGTTCTGTATGTAAAAACAAAAAAAAACACAGTAAATGATGTGCATAGAAGTGTTTCAGAAATATCTATAACTTTCCAATGGATTGCAAGCAAGATTATCTAAAATTTAAGATAAATAGGATTTGCAAGTGTCTACTTACAATCCTGTCTAGGTAAATATTTTGTATGTTAGCAGGTGGATTCAGCATGTTCCAAACCAGAAGCCAGAGAAACTGCTGCAAAATGGGAGTGATGTGGTGATTGATGGGGCTTCTGGTTATGTCATGTGCAGTTTAATTCAGGAGCAGTTGGAGTCAATGGGTAAAGTTGTGAGGAAAACCAAAGAGGAGGGATTTGCTGTAATTCATTATAGCAGTGGAACGGGGGGTTTAGATGGGATTAGCCAGGCCTGGTAATGTTATTGATGTGTAATTGTTAAAGAACCCAGACTGTTAACTTGTGGAGAAGAGAAACAGCAATTATTGTTATAAAGAGCAAAATGTTATTATTGGATAGTGTTGATTTGTATTATTGATGATTACCTCAGTTTTCTCACTTCTTGTTTTAAGGAAATTGAAACTATGTCAGTAAAGGAAGAGGGTGGATAAGTTGGAAGTGGGTTTAATGGTGATGGTGTCATCCACTAAGCACTAAAAGTCGATGTTGTGTTTGTGAAAGATATTGCCAAGGGAAAGGAGATGTGATGAAAAATAAAGGGCTCCAGGTCAGAGCCCTGAGGCACTCCTGTAATGACAGAGGAAGGCTGAGTTGAGAAAGCTTTAAGGGGAATAAACTAAGTATGTCTAACATATGGGATTTGAACTAATGTGATACCAACTGAAGAGAAGTGTCATGTGAGAAATTCTGTCAAAGGCTGCATTTGAAGTCAAGAAAGACTGGGTTGGTGAGTAAACCAGTATCAACTATCAAATGTGTTATGTGAATGTATTTAGTCAGTATTTATGCACTGGAAAAATGACACTGCATTAGAGTTCCCAAAACCATCAACAAGACACAAGTGCCTTTCATTAGAGCTGAAAGGNTATATATATATATACTTACTAATTTTTTACTAATTGTTTGTCTTGTCTGTTGTGGTCAGGTTCTGGACTCACCATGATGAGCGCTTCCTCTACATGCTGATGGACTACGTTCCAGGCGGGGAACTGTTCAGCTACTTACGCAGCCGTGGGCGTTTCAGCAATAACACAGGCCTCTTCTATTCTTCTGAGATTGTATGCGCCATCGAGTACCTGCACTCCAAAGAAATTGTTTACCGTGACCTAAAGCCAGAGAACATTCTACTGGACAGTGAAGGACACATCCGTCTGACTGATTTTGGTTTTGCCAAAAAGCTCTCAGACAGGTGACATAATTAATATTAAAGTTATAACTTGATTAACATTGTTTTGCACTTTGGAAACAACAACTACTGTATATATTTAAGTACATGGCTATTTCTTTGTAGGACCTGTTAAGGTCAATAAGAGCTGGTGTGTCCCTCAGGGATCCCTTGCTTTCGTGTTTGTCACATCCATCGCAGTTCAGACTTCATGGTTCAGTGCATGCAGTCACACAAATACATTTGAGGGGAAAATACACTTGGTAAAGGCAAAACCTGCACTCCAATCCAGGGGACTAATGAAGTGTTTACCTGCTGTCATTGAAACATATGAAAGTAAAAAAAAAAGGAAACCTTAAAACACACGATTCACACAATTATCTCATGCTGAGAGAATTGGGAGTTTACAGGATGGAGGTGCAGAATCTGAATCAGAGGGATTGCTTACTGCTTAGGTTGAGCAGTTTTGAAAGTTTGCTGCAAAGGAAAAAAATCATAATTTGTCAATATTTAATATATAAATTGTTGGCTTACATAGTTGATGTAGCAGTGTTTTGACAACCTCATTTTTTTCATTATCCCTGAAATGCCCTTCTTGTCTTCAAATAATTTAAGGCATCCTTTAGACTCTTAGAAAGTCAGAGCTTCAAGGCCAGTGACGGATGAACCTTCTTTGACTGATGTCATTGGGTCTGTATTAGATTCAAAGCCAGCGAGGCTTTTGGGTGACCATGGTGGAATGTATAATGTAGTTTTCTACCTCCTCTGCAGCATCATTACATACAGCAGTGTTTCTCATAAGCATTGTGCCCAATGCTGCACTGACCCTGGCTGACATGTAAACATAATAGAGTAAGATTACATTTTCACCCCAGTCCGCAAGAGTAAACCAGATGCCTCTCTGATGTGCAAGTGACCCACTTGTGTAAATGGAGGGCAGCACAATTGCATGGGATGGGAAGAGTGCTACCTCATTGCTACCAGCTCCCTTGTGTTTTCATGTACAGTGTGATGGAGTGCGGACATGGCCTAGAGTAGAGCCTTCCTGACGCTGCCACAGTGTCCCCTGCTGGCGAACACGGGAATCTAATTTATATTGTCATACTTTGAAGATAGAGTCCCCAATGTTTGTGTGTGTGTGTGTGTGTATATATATATATATATATATATACATATACATATATATATATATATACATATACATATATATATATATACATATATATACATATATATACTTATATATATATATATATATATATAAGTATATATATGTATATATATGTATATATATATATATATGTATATGTATATATATATATATATATATATACATATACATATATATATATATACATATATATACATATATATACTTATATATATATATATATATATATACATATACATATATATATATATATACATATACATATATATATATATACATATATATACATATATATACTTATATATATATATATATATATATACATATACATATATATATATATATACATATATATACATATATATACTTATATATATATATATATATATACTCTTGGTCTTTTGAAACAAATTATTATTATATCTAAAAACTTATATTTTAGATACCAGGTTGAATTTAATTTAAGGCTTAATTAGATATCTGGTTTGGAGACCATTTGTAGTATAGTAGTGTGTCTGAAAATATCCTTTTGTCCACCACTTATTGAGGTCTGCGCCACATCGTCCTTTAATTTTTTTAACATCGGTGGTCATCAACGCTGCCTCTTCCAAAACCCAACTTTTTTTTTTCTTCTCGAATGCCAACAGTCTTCTTATCTACCTCCAGGCCCAACATAATATCCATACAAATTCCTGTCGTTATGGCAACAGACTGAACGAGGTCATTACCCAGGTGATATCAGCGATGGGCCGTGAAAGGCTGAAGCCGACCTGAAGTGTTCTCCACCAGAGGACAAGTGTGTTTGAGAGCGAACAATTGGCCTCAATCAGCTGCTCTCCCTCCCTCTCTCTCTCAGACAGACACACAAAATCCCTCTTATGTGCTTTTAACTGACTGTCAAAGATTTGTAACTGCTCTGTTCCTACACAGCAGGTCCCGTATCCTTATTGTACTGTAACAGATGACACAGTCAGGTGGAATAGCACAGGCAGATTTTACCTATAAGTGTCATTTTCTCCTGCTCTCACGCACACAATATAATAATGTGCAATTGTATGCAGAATGAGACTAAATCAGTCTTCATCACCTTCTTAAACAGTCAACACACTAAAAAAGAAGTCACAGACAGAAGGATGCTGAAAAAAGAAGTGAAAATCAGATAAAATGTAAGTCTAGTTAAAGAAGTCAAAGTGATGTTGTTAATAGTAAATATTAACAAATATTTTTATATTAATTTACATGATAAACTATCATTTTATTGTTACATATGGATTACAAAATTAAAAGAAACTTCTGGGAAAAGATTGAAACGGAAAGCCACCCTTAATTCCCCAAAGGGAACTCCAGAGGGATTAATAAAGTTCTATCTATCTATTTAACTGTGGAGTGTTTTCTCCTTTTTAATATATATATATATATATATATAACTGTCTTTTGAATACTGTGTGTCTCTGACTGTTCAGGACCTGGACACTGTGTGGCACTCCTGAGTACCTTGCCCCTGAGGTCATCCAAAGCAAAGGTCACGGCCGGGCGGTGGATTGGTGGGCTTTGGGCATTCTCATCTTTGAAATGCTGGCTGGGTGAGTCAATGCTGACGTATTGTGTAACAGTTGTAACGCTCCCCTGCTACTGTCTTAAACACCAGGGGTCGCCTTCTCTCCACAAGTGCAACAGATGTGAAATTGCCTATAATATTGCTAATTGTACTTTTACTAATATAATAGGTATATGGACTATCAAAGTGTTTTAATTGTATTTTTATGGGCAAACTCAATTTACTTTGTTTTTTAAAACAACTGTTTTGTTTTTACTTAACTGATAATAAACTAGTGACATCCTAACACGTTCCTCACCTAGCAGTTTACCTTGTAGCATCAACGCCTCTCAGGGTTTAGTATAAAAGGAGCATCAAACAAAGGCTCTGTATGTGCAGCAGGAGCCAATATCAACCATCACATTTCTGCAATCCCATTATCTGTTTACCTGTAACTGTATTATAGTTTTTATAGTATTCTAGCATTTTATTTGTATATAAATACAATGAAAAATAATGTAAACCAAGTACACACCTACGGTCAGTT